CTCCTTGAGCTTTCATTTGTGGCCAGGTCGCCTCTGAAAAATATCTATATAGCTCAGTGGGCTTTACCTGGTAAAACACATCAATTAGTTTATAGTTATTGTTTCGATGTGTAATTTTAAATTAATCAAATTAAATCCACCAAATCACCGTGGGGTGAATAAACCCCCTCCATGAATCTATTTCCCTTGGATTTTAACGAGCTGCCCACTAACATTATTTATAACCTCTAAACCAAAAATGTTTTGACTGGCCTTCATTCTTGCATATATATGAGTGTTGCCATCTGATGGCATGGATATTTAAATTAACTTTCGTACATTTCTTCAATGTCTCGTAACTAGGACCATAGTTCAACGCTCACTCATGGAGAATAATAAAACAAAAATTACGAAAGAGATACGTGTGCCTGACTCTCGTGGCCCCGGGATTGTTGGCTGAGGCTACCATCATTGAGTCCACGAAAACCCCCTACTACAAGTCCCCAGAGCCAGCCTTGGCTGGGCTCTCCAGCCATCCCACATGCCTGTGACGCCTTCTGAATCAGTGGATAAGTATCGTTCATCGTAGTCATGCTCAAAACCCCAACCGTATTCATAATAACAACAACACAAATATGGAGTGCGATGTCAGCAATATCACAATGCCGTGTTGTTATCCGTTATGCCAGGCGTTGTTCATTGACTCGGTTATTGGCATCTGTTTTAGATAATACAACCCTGAGGTCACTTTGCACAGGCCTGGTCGCGCTTTCAGGAACTTAAACTTTAAAACACACCCAACCCGTCCCACGAAGAGAAGGTCCTGTGTTGCTCAGCGATCCACTATGTCGGTTTTCAGTGTCTCATAAAAAAAAAAACATTCTAATGACCCTATTATGTAGCTGTTTACAAAATACCGCGTTACAAAGGAACAAGCTGTTCTTACTCTTTGGTTCTTTCGGTAAAAGTCGCGTAGTTAGAAATAAAATGAAATCAAACAAATCACGACGTTTCGATCTCAACACAGGCGGTCGGCATCGGGCAAAGGAGTCTACCTACGTGATGACTTTACCGTAAGAACCAAAGAGTATGGATTCCTAGCAGTCACGAAAGCTTCAAATCAAGCTGTTCTCATTATCCCTCACGTAGTTATGAAAACAAAGCTTGAGTTGACCGGCAGGCCTTAGGCGCAGATGCTGTGTGCATTTACAATTAGATTCCATAGAACACCAAAGTGTTTTGTATTGTATTGGAAGGGCCTGATGTTGTCCGATCGCGGAGGCTAAGCAGCCGTGAAGCTTTTTCAGGTTTGATGATCACCGGTACAAGCCAGACGAAGAAAATGTATGACCAACGAACCCCTTTTGGGTCTCAAGATCGGTCTTTCGAGATCAGGGTCATGAACGTTCTAATTGCTTCTTCCTCGGCAGTAAGTTTATCCTGATCTCTGGAGTCCCAGCGCAGCATATCTGATACAACGGCCTAACCCTCCGAGTCTCTTGGCTGCCAATCTCTCTACGCTGCTAAGGTCACGCAAAAACGGGGTCACTTTGGCAATGTGACATCGAGGTTTCCCCCCCCCCCCCCCCCTTCCTTTAAACAGCTGCATCAATAGTTTCTTTCTTTGAAAAACTAAATGTTGAAAGTATTTTATTTTTCTGCTCTGTACTTTTTTCATTTGCCATTACTGCCATCCTGCCACTCGAACTCGTGCGGAGGAGTTGTTTTGAAATAAACCTTTGATGAGCACAGAGTTCACACTCGTTAAACCCACCACAGGACTGTAAATAATTTTAATGCATTCAATGAAGAACGGAAGAAAAAAAACACCTTTGACCAATTTACTGAGACTGACATTATTCGAAGGGGTTTCAAAATTAGAATATACGATCTCCATGTGGCGCACGGATCGAGGTAGCGTTTGTTGATCGTGCGCACGTACACCAGGCGCACGTATTTTGACTGTTGAATTTCATCGGCGAGATGCAGCTGTCTTGGGGACCAAACCGAAACTTTCCGTGACATCTGTATACACACTGCAGGGCTGCGCACAGTGGGAAACCTGCAATTATGAGTGTGTTCGGCCACTTTTCCATTGCACCACCATACATGGGAAAACGTCAACACAGCCCGGTCCGTTGTGTGTTGCCGAGGTCACGTCTCTGTACGACGACGATGGGTGACCGGGCCTCTTCTCTTGCGCCCCCCCCCCCCCCCCCCCCCAGGCTGTGGAATTCACTTCTACTGGGCCTTCGCTCTGCTACCTGCCCCCACCCCCCCCCCCCCCATCTCGTTTTATTCTCTGATTAGCACGCTTGGCTGCGTACGGTACGAAAGAAGTTCAACATACATACACTCACCCACTCACTGACCCACTCACGGTTGGCTACGTACGGTACGACAGAAGTTCAACATACATACACTGACCCACTCACTGACCCACTCACTCACTCACACACTCACGGTTGGCTACTTACTGTACGAAAGAAGTTCAACATACATACACTCACCCACTCACTGACCCACTCACTGACCCACTCCAGGTTGGCTACTTACTGTACGAAAGAAGTTCAACATACATACACTCACCCACTCACTGACCCACTCACTGACCCACTCACTGACCCACTCACGGTTGGCTGCGTACGGTACGACAGAAGTTCAATATACATACACTCACCCACTCGCTGACCCACTCACGGTTGGCTACGTACGGTGCGAAAGAAGTTCAACACACATACACTCACCCACTCACTGACCCACTCACGGTTGGCTACGTACGGTGCGAAAGAAGTTCAACATGCATACACACAAATTGCACCTCGAGACGCAACTTGTTTTGAAGGGTTTTTTCTATTTCTTGAATCTTTTGTTTTTGGGGTTGTTTTTTTTTATTGGAGTGAGCCTGCATGTGTACGTGTGTTTGTACAGCACCTTGTGATCTCCGGGTAGATAGTTTGTAAATATATATAAATATGTATATATATTTTTTTCTCATTCTTTATAATTTTCTAATGTTAAGTTGAGTTTGAGTTTTAATGCGATGGCGCTTTGAGTGGTAGATTTGTGCCTTCACTTGACTTGAAAGGTGCTTTAGAAGTGTAAATTATTATAATTTTCGTATTTACTATAGAATTTTCACCTTCGATCAGCGTGGTTGGCTGCGTAAGTTCAACATACGTACATGCAGGCAAAATATAACCCAACAAATATGTGCGTATATATTGTATCTGGGTGACGGTGCCATGATTCTGAGCCAGCAACTTTGACATGTCAGGATTCAGTACGGCGTTATTCATCGGAGTGAAAAAAGGGTCCCATTGTATCGTGATTTGGATGACTTCATTACAGGCGTTAAGGGATGGCACACAAAATTCACCGTAAATTGATACGTGAACTCGATTTAGCAGCAGCCAAAGTTGAACATTTAAAATAACAGCAACCGTAACAATTGTACTCTCGCCTTCAGAACAAAGTGTGTGTGTATGTGTGTGTGTGAGAGTGTGTGTGTGTGTGTGGATATGGAGAACGGTAGTGTTGCGGTTAGCACGCTTCACTATCGATCCCGACGATCCGAGTTCGATTTCTGCTCACAGCCAACACCAGTGACGATTATCTGAAGCGGTCCTGGGCCTCCCCTAGGACGATGCAGACTAAAATGAGTACCTTGTGTGGTGCGTAGTAAACATCGCCGCTAAGGGAGACAAAGGCGGCCGGGCGTGGTGTTGGCCACCCACCCTCTCGTGTGCCGTACAGGCCTTCAAAGGTGCTCGCTAACAGCACTTGTCCCTGTTACAGGCTATACGGGGAATCTTTGTCTTTGTGGATATTAGATTATGATAAATCTTGACCTAAAGCTTTCGTGACTGCAGGAATTCATATTCACGTAGATAGGTTAAAAGAAACCTATCTACGTGACTTTACCGAAAGACCCAGGAATATAGATGATGATACTTTTCAAAAGTATACAAATTGTTCAGTGATGTTACTTTGGCAGTGGTGCACAAGTAAAATAAACAAATATTCAACAAGTTCATCGATAACACTGTTATGATGAAGCGCCTTTGTCCCAAATGTCTCCACTGTTATATATATCCTTTATGAATAATTATAATCATTGCAATAATTACCTGGGCTAACTTTACCTGACTTAACCTTGAAAACGGTTTTACTTGACAATCTATGTTGAGAATTACTTTTGAGTATAATTATTATCGAGAGGAAACCAGAGTGCCTGGAGAAATCCCACACTTGCAAAGGTAAAACACTAAAACGTCACACACATAGCCTGCCCAAAAAAACAGCTTGCTGTACCATCTCCTAGAATTCAGCACAGCAGATGGACAGGTGTCTAACCTACACAGAACTGCTCCGTCCCTGTATCACTCAACAACCTCACGTCGTTTAGACGGAGTGCTGTTGCCAATTACATCTGGTAAGTCGACGGAATTTAACAAGCCGGAATGCAGATGAGACCCAGGAGGTCAAAACCAGTCCAGAGTTTGCTTACTTATTACACCGATGCTGTTTGACTACTTTGGTCTAAACAGCCAATAGGCCGATGACTTAAAATACATTTTATCTGAAATGTGGAGTCACAGAAGGGAGGTCTGTATCTATACATATATATGGCTGCCCGTGATGCTATTTGGGCACAGATGTAGGATGGACAACAACAGTAACAATTTAAAGTGTTGTTTGGTAAAATGGTAGGAGATTGGTGAGATTGGTGCCAGAAGGATGAGGCACCACTTGAGCACATTGGTACAAGGCCGCAGGAAAGTGGAAACGAATGACGAAATGTGCCGTGGACACCTACTGGCCTATCTGACCATGATGCTGCTGCTGCTGCTGCTGACGCTGCACAACAACGCAGAATGAGTTTTACACATCCGTGTCGCCAGGACTACCATGGCCAGCACGCCCGCCTGTGCGGCCTTGCGGCAACGAAAAGGGGTTCGGCTTGTTTCACGCGGTTGGGGGGGGATGATGAGGAGGAGGAGGAGGAGGGTCCCTTTCACCTGCGGCCGCCGTCGAACGACAAGCAAGAGCAGACGGTGCAGGTGCTGCGTGTCCGAGGGGCTGAGGCGGTCCAGCAGCGCCAGCAGCGCCGGGATCCGCACGTCCAGAGGGGAGGGGCGCGCCTCGTACACCTGGGGCAGCACGCGCAGCAGCGCCAGGTTGCCTGCAGGGAGCGGCGAACAGGGAAGGCGTCGACTCGGAATGTTAAAGGAGCGAAAAAGCCTCTTCTCTTCCTGTGCCCATCTCCTGTTGACGGCACTGAGCGAGTGATGGAAATTCCCCGATTTTAGCCAGAGGACAGCAGCCGATGATGGGCTGCGTCAGCCTGCAACCAGGATCGTATTGATTTGCGAAGCCACTCGCTGTCCCTGCTGAGCCATCTGGTCGAAAACAAATACAGATATATCACAATAATAATGATCTAAGGAGAGGAGTGGTGGTGCAGTGGTTAGCGCACACCTTTGAAAGACTTCTGGTACCCAGCTTGTTTTCCGTGTGTAATCATTTTTTGTATTTACCCAAGGTGATTGACATGAATTGACAACTGGGCAGGAAAAGGCTATAATACTATTTCTCGTTTTAAGATAAATATTTGAGAATTAAAGAGTTAATTATCACGAGGTTAGAGTCAGCTGATATGTTGGTAGGGTTTTTTTTTCAAAGAAACCTCCCAGGTTTAGATAAATACATTAGTTCCTTTATTTAATCATGAGTGAGAGCTTATTGGAGACACACTATAGCCTTCTCCGTGAGAAAAACATAGTTATCCATCAATTCTATTATTAAAAGTGTTGGAGGGGGGGGGGGTGAATTGACATCGAGAAACCGTATATCCTTTATTTTTTGTTGCAAAACAGCATTCATCCATCCATCATTAGCAGTGAATGGGAAAACTGATACCTAAGGCCACAATAACCAAAGGCATAAAGACCGCCCCCCCCCCCCCCCGTGATGTGGTGATCTCAAGTATTGCTAATTGCAGGTGTATGTCACCCTTTTCCATGAGATATTATTTTCCTTCATGAGCCAATAAGTGTACCTACAGCTTAGGCATTAAAAACATGTCACCCGTGACAAGCTCAGATCTCAATAACTCGAATAATGAAGTATTCGTTTAGAAAATTAAAAAAGAGAACGTTAAATGAGCTAAACAACTGCTCCTTAGTGCTACCAGATATAACGCATACATTTTAGTGACATCCATAAAGCAGTTTTAAAAGGAATTCCTGAGCAATAAACCTTCAGCCTGGGCCACGCGCTGGATAATGTTTGAAACGTGCACGACGTAGGGGGGGGTAATCTTAAATTTCACGGCGTGTTTTCAATTTAGCCACTTCTGCTGGAGAGAACGGCCGTGCGGAATCAAAACATGCCTTTACGTCACCGGCCACAACATCTCCACGGGCCCCTGAGAGATACTGAAACAATATCGCACCAGAAGGACCTACGATTCTCCTACTCCAACTCATTTCATATTTCATCTGAAAAGCAACCGGCGAAAATGTACAGCTGTACGTTGAGTCGGGGAAATCCATTCCATGGCATCGGGAGTTACTTCAACGCGCAGCGTCCGTACCGCCTGCGTCAGCATATGATGGGCAGCGGTGGGTTACGCGATGAGCAGATTTGCACTTCACCGCACTCACAATGGGGCCACTCTTTCATTATAAACCCTTCTGTGAAGGAATTAGCCGCACCTGCCCTGCGTTGTCCATACACGTTTGAGCGTGAGCCAATTGCCCTCACCGCAGGCCTGAAAGCCAGCTCGCTCCCTGCGTCGGATCTTTCGATTAGTCGCTTGTTGCGGAACATCGCAGGCCGTCGAGATTTTGAGCCACCCATCGCCGACGACGCCCTTCCTTTGTCAGAAAAGTGTCTCTCCGCGCGAGTCCAGAAAAAAATATGGTTGTGGGGCCTTAGCTGGCTCGGCGGTGCAGATTTGACGTCCCGGTGGTAGTTGTCGGTTGGTTGGCCAGGATCTTGTTGTGCTCCCAGATTACGGTGGCATTTCGCCTCACGTTCTAAAGTTGGGCCTTCACTCCCCTGGGCATACTTAACATGAAGCCATCTTTATAATGTCATAATAATGAGAGAAACAATCATCATAATAATCGGCTCTTTGTCAGTCCACTGCTTGACGAAGCGTCAGTCCAGATATCACTCGCCACTCGGTGATGGCTTCCCCATGCTGCATTGGACATGGGGGGTTGTCCTTGACCATACTTCACCACACCGGCGATTGGGGGTTGATGAAAGGGGGACCCAGAACAGGCTCCGATATCTCTCGCGAATTATGTCACCACTCGCCGTGGCCGGCAATCAAATGCAGGCCCGTGGGTTCATAGGGCAGTGTGCTAACACGCCACAGTGTGCAAACCACCGCACCACCGCTTCCTTCCAAAGCCGCCATATGTAGCATTAAATGAAAAGCAGCATAGCTTAGGCTTCTTGTAGTCACGTATATAAACATCATGGATAGTCTAGAATCCTCAGCAAGAGCAACACACGTGCAGGAATAATAAATACAAAGATCCTCTTTGAAGGCCTACTTACACAAAAGGTAGTAAGTTGCTGTCAGCAAGAACTTATTACAACTGCTTTAGCACGCGGTGAGATTGTTGAGACAGCGCGGTATCTGATATCGCGTTTACTGCATCACAGAACCCGGCACAAAAGCATACGTAGCTCACTTTTAAAGGTGAACCAGCATTAAGGTTTATCATAGCGCAGGCACAACTTATGCTCATTTCTAGAGGTATACTCGGCTACGAATGGTACTTATCTTTCTCAGGTTGCATTTTCCACTTACGTGCATTACCTACATTTAGCCAGACATCCAGGCGAAACTAAACTTCTCATTACACCAGGTAAGGCCCACTGCGCTATATACTGTAGCTCTTTTTTCAGAAGCGGCCACAAATGGTAGCTCAACAAAGTGACTTGTCACGTGGAAATTTATAGCAGCCGAATACTCTGAACGCATATTTATAAATGTGGAGGGAAAAACCGAAGGACCCGGAAAAAAAAATCCATGCGACCCAGGGGAGAGAGACATGCAAACTCCAAATATACAGGCATCAGGGTCAGGATCGAACCCACGATCTCCTCCATACCCGGCGAGGTCGTTTACATCTTGCCATCGCAACGTTACCCAGGAATGATGGGGTCGTCGCACAGGGCTCTGATACTGGTAGGGTCTCACGTGTCTTCTCGCAGCAAGAGGAATCTAGGTTCAATTCCTGACTCGGGCACCTATCTGTGTGGCGTTTGTACAATCTCCCTCAGTTCTGCATGAGTTCCCTCCGTGTTCTCTGGTTTCCTCCCAGAGCAAAAAAAACATTGAGTGTAATTCGTGTAGGCCAACCCTTCCCAATGCAGGACCCTCGTGGAAAATATTAATTAGACTCAGTGTGACTTTTCTGAGTAAACCGGTGTGTTTTTTAAGCTATATGTTGAGTTCCACAGGAATGGAATTACAGCATGGCATACAGAACACGATACATTGATGGAAAAATTTAGCACAATCATTCAGTTGATTTTTTTTTTATCCCGGGAAGTGATGGAACAGTGGTTAGCTCACTGGACTATGAACTCAAATCTGACGGTTAATACTATTTGTCCATTTACATACATGTTACTTGTGTCATGTTCAAACACAGCAGGTGGTTGGTGTGTTCACGTAAAATAGCCCATGTTACCACCGTTCCTGACATATTTGCGTTGTTGTCAAAATTCCCTAACCATAGAATATTTTAACTCTCCCGATAACATGGGGTGCTCATTAGATGCATATCGCAACTGGATGTCATCACATTAAGGATGTGTTCTTTAAAAAAAAAATCTGTTTTAATAATTCCTATGCATTCATGTCTGTTGGTAAACGAGCACATCAAGCAATAGTGTTGCCAAAGTAAGCGTTCTATTGCTTTCATCTTTGTGTTGATTAAAATGCATCCATTTATTTATTTATTTACTTTCCCCCAATACATTTATTCCAAGTGTTGGATATAAATTTTTAATCTTTCTGAGATTATTGAAAAGCATGCCTCGCAAAGCCACTCCGCTTTTATCTTTTAAACAAGCATGCGGCTTGCTGTTATTGTAAGAGTTATTTTCAGGGCTTCACGTGGAATAACAAACATTGTTTTCAGTAGAATCTTTTTTAACGATGATTAATAGCTGGTCGACGAGATAAAATATCAGCGCTACGATGCAGCATGTGACGCACTTAAAAAGTTGCCAGCCAGCTAAGAGTGGTAAACGAAATGCAGTTGTGCCATCATTTCGCACGGATGTATTTTAGTTATTTCGTAATAAATTAGGAGGGCTATGAAAATACCGTGCCCGCCGTTTTGGAAAATAAAACTTTTCTGCGCGCATAACAGCAAGGGACATTAAATTGTCAAAATGCTGAGTTGTGGTGCTCCCGAGTCGGCAAAAAATGTTTTGGTGATTTGTAAATTAGTGTCGGTAATGCCATTCACGCACACACAGCTTTCATCTCACCAGCTTTTAGAAAGATAGTAACAATAATAGGGTTTTTTCCCCTTTTTTCTGGCAACAAAACTGAAACCTTTTTACGAGGATTCATGTCTGCATTAACCACAATACCTGCAGTCAAAATGCAAACAAAATACACACTATGATAATATGATGCATTGTCCTTGAAACTGATTGGTCCACACCAAGGAACGGCTTTCTTTTGAGCCAAAAGGCGTCATCTGGTCGAGCACCAATTGGGTCGAGGCTCAAAAGAAAGCCGCCCCTTGGTGTGGACCAATCAGTTTCAAGGACAATGCATATATTATCATAGTATGTTTTTTGTTTGCATTTTGACTGCAGGTATTGTGGTTAATGCAGTAAACATGAATCCTTGTAAAAAGGTTTCAGTTTTGTTGCCAAAAAAAAGGGGAAAACCCCTATTATTACATTTTGGTACTGGCAAAGAAGGTCTAATGATAAAGATAGTAACACTTTGCAAAGAATAAGCCGCACTATCATGCGGTTCACGTGCAGCCTATACAGCCGTGTAAACTAACCGTTTCCAATTGTTTATAAATGACACAACAAGCATTAGACACAAAGTTGAACACAAATATTACCCTTGTTCATTCTGATAGACTTGGCGTTTTCCCACTAGTGTTTTTTTTGCTGTTTAAATTG